GTGGGAAGAAATGGAATAAAGAGTACAGGCATAAGAATTAGCCTTGGAAAAGAAAATAGACCCTTCCTCCACTAACACAGAAAAGTACAAAATGGTGAGTACAAATGAAATGAGGAGGGAAATTTACTAATCAGCACTTGTGTCCTAGGATCATAGGTGTTATTTACTGAGGAAGTAATATGTGCAAAGCATCAAGTACTTGCACAAATTTTCTTCCTCAAAATGCTGCAAGACAGAAGTTATCCACACTTCACACATACACACACACACAAAAATTGCCAAAACTCCTAGGATTCAGATGCAAATCTGTTTGAGTCAAAACACTATGCTGAGAGATTGGGCAGACACCAACATTGGGCAGACAAGGTTAACAGCACCAGTAACAAGACATATTAACATCACACAGCCCTGGATATAATGTACTAAGGATACCTCATCTCTGCGGCGTCCCTCTTGCCTAATTAATGCAACAATACCTTTACCAAATCACAAGAAAACATCAAACAACTACAAAACAACTAACAAGTACTCTTCAAAGTCTCAAGGTTATATAAGACAAGGGAAGACTGAGCAACTACTAAAGATTGGGGGAGACCAAAGAGACATGACAAAGTATTGTGGAATTCTGGAATAGATCTTGGACAAAAAAAAGGGGGGGGGGGCAGTAAATGTTAAAACTGGTGAACTCAGAATAAAATCTGTAATTTAGTTAATAATATTGTACCACAGTTAATTTCTGCCCGGTCGGTGTTCTCAGTGGTTCAGCATCAATTGACCCACGAACCAAGAGGTCAACCCAGTTCAATTCCCTGTCAGGGCACATGCCCAGGTTGTGGGCTCAAACATCAGTAGAGGGCATGCAGGAGGTAGCTGATCAATGTTTCACTCTCTTATCCACGTTTCTCTCTATCCGTCTCCCTTCCTCTCTAAAAAAAAAAAAAAAAAAAATCAACAAAAAAGTTAATTTCTTAGCCTTGATCACTATATTAAGGTCTCAAAGTAAAAGTTTTTTTTAAAAAAAGGTTTGCACTGCTTCTGTAGGAGCACAGCACTTAACATAACTATGTGTCTAGCTATTAGTCTATTCAAGACTAGTTTATATAGATTGAAAGCCTAGCTCAGATTCTGACTGGTGGTTAACAATAGCATGCCTGTAGTCCCTGAACTGCCTGGCATCCTGGTCCTCACTCCTGACCTAGACTGGTGCCTTAACACTTGATCTCTGACTCCTACCTTGTCCTTATCACACATTCTGAATACTGCATCTAATCCCTGACCCCAGTTCTCCAGAATAATGTGCTCACTGGGAGAGTATCTAAGAGAGGATAGGTGGGTAAACCCAAAAAGTGCAGGATATATTAGGTAGGTCAGCAAAGTAACCGCAAAACATAATGTATCAATAAACATCACCTTCGCTTACACTCATGTCTCACATTTGCAATCATATCTCCATAAAATATGAACATGAAAAGAAAACTCATAAGGAGCAGCATAGCCAAAAGCTTTCATAATACAAAACAATAGACCATAAAGGTACAAAACTTGATACTTTAAATCAGTTTACTCATCTCTCATTTATTCCGGTAATTGGAACTACTTGCGAATATTATTTCCATTAGGATGATTATTGCTAAGGAGTTATCAAACTACATACAATGTTTTGCAAATATTTATTTAGTCACTATTATGCACTAGGCATTGAACAACAATACTTAAAAGATGGGTGAAATCCAACTCATTTTTAATTCCTTTGACAGTTAACTCTATCCAACACTGAGAGATATTTACCTATGCCCTCTATATTAGGCTATGATCTAGATCAGGGAGGACCCATAGAAATATACTGTAAACCATATATGTAAGTTTAAATTTTCTAGTAACTGCATTTTTAAAAAGTGAAAATAAAAGGTGAAAATTATTTTAATATATTTCATTTAATCCTCTATATGCAAAAGTTATTTCAACATGTAATCACACCAAAAAAAAGGGCGTAAGATATTTACTTATTTTTTGGCATAATAAATCTTCTAAATCCACTTTGTATTATTGTTAGACAGACATTGTTAGAGCAGAGCAAGGACTGTGGGCCAGGTACAGAAACTCACCAGGGCAGAAAGCCCCAGATGCCTAGGAAGGGGCAAAACTGGGAAAACCTTGTCCCCAGGGTAACCTAACCTATCCACTGGTCATTCAGTTTAGACCCCCTGAGCCTTTCCTCCCTAAAGAACATTTAGGCCTCAGCTGTATTTCAGCTCCAGGCCCAGAAAAGCAGCAAAACTGGACAAGTGACACTGTGGCTGCCTCAGGACCAGCGGCATTGACTAATGACCCCCTGGAACCAGCCAATCAGTGGAGACTACGACCCTGAAAATGCACACCAGGGAAGCTGATGAATATTCTATTGAGACCCTCCCCTGAAACCTCTCCTAAGATTTCCATCTGCAAGAGAGAGATAAATATGCTTAAGACAAAGGACCCAGGGTGCTCTCCTCCACAGGGGAGTTTGCCAGTGCCATACCCTTCGCCCTTCTTCCTTCTGATGGGTCCCAAGACTTGCAACCAGGAAGCAATAGGCAGTGGCACTTGTCCAAGGCTTACCCCCTGTCTCCAATGTCCCCTTCTCTCTGACTTCTCCGTGAGCCAAAGCAGCCCAGCCTGGGCTCTCCTGTTGCTTCTTCTATGCACCTTCCTTCCTTGTTTCACAGTTGTAGTATATTTTTGCTGCCATCACAGACCCAATACCTTTTGGCTCAGTACTGTGTAGCCCTTCCCCTTGGATATCCCCATCCTCCTTCCCCTTTTCCTTAAATAAATTTAATTTTTCTTTATTCACCATCTGAGATGGCTATTTAGCCTGCCCACACATCAAGGACATTAACCTTTCAATTATATGCTTACAGCATCTCAATTCGGACTAACCACATTTCAAACGCTCAATTGCCACATGTAGCTAGACACTACTCAGATGGATGATACAGATGCTGCTTGCACATCAACACATTCTCCTTTCTCTAAACTCTGTCTTTTCCTTAAACAATTATCCCTGATATTACACTATGCCTGCTAAGAGAAGCAAACACAAAGAATGATGAATTAAACTGAAAACTCCTTTGGAGTGCAAGTTTTTGGGGTGTTTTAGTTAAAAGGGCACATGGCATTGTGACCTCCTCTAAAAACAAAACACATTTTTTAAAAAGCAGAAACAGAAAAAAAATTAAGGGACCATTTATTATGAATGATCCTCAAATCTTAGTAGAGACTCTGTAGTCAGCACAGAACATGATTAAAACAAATCTATAAACCCAAACACATCTTTGACTCTATCAGTCAGTCATATTACTTATATTTAAAACATTAAAATCCAGTAGAATTAATAAAGGGGAAATAATTTAAAAAGTTTTGTTTAGAGCACATTTCTTTTCCAAATGTAGACATATATTTTTTCCTTATAATATACAAGTATAGCTTTAATGATTTATTCTTTAAGGGATAGTTCATCCTTACGGTGAATGCTATGCTTGAAATGTTAATTCAAAAAAAAAAAAACTTTACTACAATTTCCCCTTGCCCTAATTCCAAAGTAGAACTGTAAGAAGTCTATATTATTGCTCGGCTGGAGTGGCTCAGTGGTTGAGCACCGACCTATGATCCAGGAGATAGAGGTTAGATTCCGATTCTCAATCAGGGCACATGCCAGGGTTTCGGGCTAGATCCCTAGCAGGGGGCATGCGGAAGGCAGCTGATCAATGGCTCATCATTGATATTTCTATCTCTCCTCCCTTCCTCTCTCTGAAATCAATAAAAATGTTTTAAAAAATAAGTCGATATTATTTATAAAGAGTAACAAACTTAAGTTTTCTTTATAGGTTGAACCTCTCAAATTTAAAAAACATCATTTTCACAGACTACTTCCTAACAGTGCCTGGCATATTTTCTCAACAACTATTTGTTGAGAAATGAATGAATATCTAGTAACAGGCAATGAATATTAATATATCTAGCATTTCAAAATAAAAAGTTAAAAATTAGACTCTTTCCAGAGAGAGACAAGTATCACATGATCTTACTCATATGTGGAATCTAATGAACAAAATAAACTGATAAACAAAATAGATCCAGAGACACAGAAGCATGGAACAGACTGAGGAATCTCAGAGGGAAGGTGGGGTGGAGGAGTGGGTGGGGGGAGATTAATCAAAGAATTTATATGCATAAATGCATAACCCATGGACTCAGACAACAGTATAGGGCAGGCCTGGGGGTGGGGCGGCTGCAGGGTGGAAGGGATCAATGGGAGGGAAAAGGGGGACATCTGCAATACTTTCAACAATAGGGATAAATTTTAAAAAGAGAATTAGGCTCTGAAAACAGAAGCTACCCTACAGTAAAGAAAACACTTTCCATCAGTTACTTGCATTTAATACTCCTAAGGCATAGATATTATCAGCCCTCATTAAACATTTGAGGAAGGTGGGGCCAACAATGTTAAAGTCAGACATTGTAATTATGAAGTGGTGGAGCCAGATTTCAAGCCCAAGTAAGTCCTCAAACAAAACGTGTGTGTGTGTGTGTGTGTGTGTGTGTGTGTGTGTGTGTGTGTGTGTGTTGGAAAGGGGCGTGTGCATGTTATGAAAACTATATCCCATGCTTCTCTACTTACAAAAGAAAATTCCCATTACAAAAACTTCAGAGGAAAAATACACAACGGACAGTTTCCTATTCCATACACACACGTACAAAATCCACAACTTTTTAAGTATCTGGAGCCCATTTAAAGGATAACAATAGGCGCTGTGGATGGAGACTTAAATGCAACCAGACAAAAAGGTTACATCTCCTGGACATCCCTCCGGGGACCAATCAAACCGGGAGCGACCGCGGGCCCCGCGGCCTGGGACGGGCTCGGCCGGGCGCGGACAGGGGGCGGCTCCCTCCCGAGTCCTCGGGGCGCAGCTGTCCCCTCCCCTGGGAGGGCGCGGGGCCAGCCGGCTCCTGCCTACCTGACGGGCTCCTGCCGCCGCTTGAACCAGCTGCAGCAATTGGCCATCAGACCGAACATGCCCGGCCGCTCCTCCCTCCGCCTCCCATCCGAGCCTGGAGCGGGGATGGGCCCCTAGTCGCCCCGGGCCGTGCCCCGAAGCCGCCTCCGCTCCGGAGCGCCTCGGTGCGGGTAGCCCCGGAGGAGAGCACGGGCGGGAGGGGAGGACGGTCAGTGCCAGCACAAAGCCCGGACAACCGCGCCGGGCCGCGAGCGGACAACGTCCTCCCTCCCAGCCGGGCACAGCGAGGCAGCGGCGCGGATTCCCAGCCCCGGCGCTGCTAGCGGGCCGCCCGGAGAAACCCCCGCGCCGACGTGCTGACGTCCCTCCCGGGCGTGGAGGGCCCTTCCCAAGCACCGCCCCTGCGCTCCTCCAATCACCGCCCGAGGGCCGGCGGCGGGGGCCTCTGAGTGGCTGAAGGGGCTCGACTCCGCCCCCCGTTTCTGCCCGCGAGGTGGGAGGAAGAAGGAGGTGGAACTCCGGGAAGGTAGTTCTCGTTACTAGGCAACGGGAGCGTTCAGGGATGAACTGAGGCATCATGGACAAATCTCAGGCGAGGTTTACTTGTACATCCATCCCAAAGTGTATTACCAGCCGAGGGTACTGCTCCTCCTCTGTCTCCAACCACAGCTGAGATCCAAAGATCTCAGGTCTTGTGCATGTTTTGTTTTGTTTTGTTTTATGCATCAGGGATGGGGCTCTACTGGGATTACAGCAGATTCTGACTGCACAGCTATAGAAACAATACACTGGGGCAATTATTATGACAAGGGAAAAACTCATTTGCTAATTGTATCAATAGTTCAGATGAGAGTGATGTTTTCTTCCATATAGTGTTATTGTTGTTTGTTAATAAAATGTGAAATGGAATTGTATATTTATTGTGTGGGGGGTATGATTACTAACAAAATGTATGTTCATTGTAGAAAACGTAAAAAAAAAACCACAAAAAAAACACAACACTAAAAAAGGGATAAAATGAAGAAAATAAGATCTCACACCACCCAAAGATAACCAGTGTTAACATTTTGATATGTTCTTTTCAGGATTTTTAGACACATAGATTGCTAGTTTTTTGGTTTCTCCAAGAAATAGGATGGTGATCTACTGGATGTTTTGTAATCTGATTTATTTTAAATAAATAAATATGTGATATTTGCATTATTTAATATTCTTGGAAAAAGAAATGACAAATACATTTCTATAGAAAAAATGCATACATAATATATAGGGGCCTGTGTATACATTCAGTTTCTACTAATATATTTTGAAATCCTAGTAAAAGGAAAGAGGGCCCTGGGAAGCCCAGTGTATCCATGAGAAAATAGTGCTTTGGAGATAAGATAGATCTAGGTTTAATATTATTTCCTGTCCTTTACTAACTCATTTAATCCTAATTCAAACTAATATACATCATTTACAGTTTATTGTCCCTGAAACAAAGTACCCCAACTGTAAAAGGNTCCTGTCCTTTACTAACTCATTTAATCCTAATTCAAACTAATATACATCACTTACAGTTTATTGTCCCTGAAACAAAGTACCCCAACTGTAAAAGGAGAATAATAATACCTACTTTGCATGGTTGCTAAGATGATGAAATGCGAGAAATAAAACTCAAGTGCAATTTCTAACAAATAATAGCAGATTTTGAAGTTGGTGTCACCTGTCCCATAAACACCTCTCTCCAAATAGCTGGATCTTGATCGCCTTTCTCAGTCTCCTGCCTTGATGCTTCAGCTTTCTTTCCAACTGCTCATGGATGTATGACCTCTATTGATTTTCCTAATTGAACCTGCCCTTCCTCATCAGTACTAGATGTTGCCTCTGCCCAGACTGTCCTGTCCATACACTAAAATGCCTCTATTATTCAGCACTAATGAAGAAAGTTAAGTGACACTTTCACGAATTTTCTTCCCTCCCTATTATCTGTTTCTTCTTAATTTCTAATATCTCAAGACATCTACCTCCTCTTTTCCAAGATTAACCACTTCTCTGGGACTTTGACAAACATCATTTTACCAATTTTCTGAAATTCTGTTCCTTCAATTATCTCTTCTCGATCCAACATCTTAAATATATCCCTCCCCATCCCCATTTTTTCCCTAGATCTTAGGCTACAACTGCCAGAATGGGGTGGGAGTTAGAGAGCAGGACAAGATAGGGCCACAATTCCTCCTTAACTATGAACAGGCTAGTACTGTCCTGCTGACTCTTTAATTTCACAACCCAACTTCTTAAACTATTGGTTCACAAACCCTAAAGCACTATTTTTTGCTGTTCACTCTTTTTATCAATTTGCTGTGATTAGGCTTCTGTCCCATCAAACTACTCAAAACACATTTTTTTGATAGAACTTATGTCTTCCTTACCAAATCAGTTCTCATTTTCTTTCACATTGGTTAATACTTTTAATGCAGTTAACTCTTCTAAAGCTCTTTTCTCCCTTGGTTTTTCACAATTATGCACTATTCTGGTTCTCTTCTGACCTCACTGGTCATTCTTCCTCTAGCTTCCTACATGTATTCCCCAGGACCAACCTTATCCCTTTATTTTTCTTTTTAAAAACATGTTCTCTTAGAGAATCCAATTATTACTTCTGTGCTTGAGGGTCTTACTATGTGGATGTTTCTTGAGCATTTCTGGAACCATGCTCAACACCCTTTTTTCAAAAAATATACTCAACCAAGCTCAACTTCATGGCTTTCCTAGTTCTGATAGTGATCCAGCGTCAACCATTTCTGGTGCCAACATACAGTCAGTTAGTTAACTAAGTTGACTATTAGTTTTCAGTCTAGTAAGTGATTGGTAAACATTAGTGTTGTTCACTATTTCTAGTTCCCTTTTCCCTACAAGCACATGAAATAGTTATTCCCTCCTTCTCGAAGTCATGGATTTGTTTCGTCCTGTGAAATGTGCATGGTAATAGTTGTGTCACTTCTTGGTGAAAGCATTTAAAAGCTGCTGCACAATTCACTGTTCTCTCTTCCCTTGCAATGTTAATTGTGGAAGCCTATGTTAACTTTGAAGTAAAATAAAATCAAAACAGCATGGAACGCTGAGCCAATACATAGAAGACAGCGGATTGGAAAGTCCTACAGTGGACTTCCCATGAGCAAGAAATAAACACTTGTTAGCTTAAGTTACTGTAATTTCATGGCTATTTTATCACATTATAATCTAGTTTATTCTGAAGTATGAAAACAGTCTTGCTGCCATCATTCTTGTCAAGAACCTCATTTCATCTCCCAGGGATTGTTGAAATAGCACCCTAAATATTACTTGGTTTCTTCTTTTTTTTCCAGCTTTATTGAGGTACAATTGCCAAATAAAATCATAATATATTTAAAGTGTACAATGCAATAATATAATGTACATATACATTGAAAAATGATTCCCATAATTGAGTTAATTATCACATTCATCACCTCATGTTACTTTTTTTTTAGTGAGAACATTTGAGATCTACTCTCTTAGCAGATTTCAAGTGCACAACACAGTACAATTAAGTATACTCATGCTGTACCTTAGATCCTCAGAACTTATTCATCATTTATTTTACGCTCAATTTATTCCTGGGCCATGAGTTTTTGTTTCTTCAATTTCTTCTGGGATATCTTTTTTTCTGTGTAACCTCCTCTTCTGGTTTAAACACCATCTGATCTTTTTCAGTAGGATCATCTCAGTGTGGAAGGGAGAGCTCGTGTATGGGTTCTGCACATCATCTTGGGAGCTTTGTTCAGCATCACTCTGCATTTTTAAGCATGTCCAGCAAAAATTCAGCAGTCTTTTGGGGCCATCGACCTTGTGTCCAGCCCCACTGTTTGGCCTGGGGACACCTACCAACTCCACCACTGTAACTACAGAAGGGCATACACTGGTTCTGTAAAGCGACGTCCTTCAGGTCCTTGGTGGCTTTACAGATATGCATACCCTGGACGCTCTGGGAGGGTTCATGAGTGTTCTTAAAGTGAACATGAAGATTGGAACTTCTTGCTTTGCATGATTTTGTGGGGAATTTTGGGTCAAGTACATAGCGAATAATTTTCAGAGGTCATCTCAGGCCAATTACAGAAAGAGAACTTACTCATCTTATAACTGAAAATTTGTATGTTTTACCAACCTCTCCCCTTTCTCATATCCCTCACCCTCTGGCAACCACCATTCTATTCTGTTTCTATGAGTTTGACTGATTTTTTTTTTAAGTTCCACATATAAATGATACAATGCAGTATTTGTCTTTCTCTGTCTGGCTTATTTCACTAGCATATTACCCTCCAGTTTCATCCACATTGTTGCAAATAGTAGAATTTCTTGGTTTTGGGGATTTTTTTCGGGGGGGAGTAAGCCTTAATAATATTCTATTATATATCATATATATGTGATATATAAATATATAGTATGTATATATCTGATACATGTAACATATAACTACATAATATATTTATATATAACGTTGGCTTATCCATTTATCCATAGATGGACACTTAGGTTGTTTTCATATCTTGGCTATTTAAATAATGCTGCAGTGAACATGCGAGCACAGATATCTCTTCCAGGTAGTGATTTCATTTCCCTTGTTTCTATACTGAGAAGTGGGATTGTTGGATCATATATATGTATTATACATATAGTAGTTCTTTATATATAGTTCTGTTTTTAGTACTAAAATATATGGTATTTTATGCTACTATAAATGCACAGTATATACATATGTGCATGTGTGTGTGTATATATATATGTATATATTCAATTTTTAATTTCTCAAGGAATCTCTATACTGTCTTCCATATGGCTGCACCAATTTACATTCCCACCTACTGTGTACAAGGGTTCCCTTTTCTCCATATCCTTGCCAACATTTATTTGTTGCCTAATGTTACTTGGTTTCTAATCTTTCCCAGCTCTGATCCATTTTGTAAACATTTCACAAGGTAATATACTTAAATACAACCACAAAAATCATTATCCTTTCTCAAACAAACAAACAAAAAACAAACAAATAAAACAAGACTAGTCCTTACTGCCTATGGTTTAAACACTTTAGGTTGATTGTTTTCACCAAGCAAATATTAAAAGATTATTGTAGAAAAATAAAATGTACAGTGTAGGGCAAAAGTAAGTTTACAGTTGTTCATATGGAAAATAACACAATAATTAACAAATAATAATACAAGAATAAACTCTGTGTTTTGCATACTCACAACTATAAACCTACTTTTGCCCCACCCTGAATAAATCG